TCCGAGATCGGGGAAACACAGGGTGATTGCACATTACAAATTTATGGTGAAAACCCTAAAGCGACCCGGGCTGCCTCTTCTGCCTTGTTGCTGTTCAGGATTAAGGTCAACAAGCATGGAGCAAAAAAGTCTGGCGGTTAATGGGCCAAGACGCACACTGTCTACCCAAAATGTCACAGGTTTGAATCCAGCTTGTGACCTTTTTTGAATGTCATATCCTCGATGCATTCAATCTTTCTGGCCATTGTGCTGTTGTGTTTGTCAGCAAAGCACACATGTCATTAAAATGCTTTCATGCTGGATATACACAATACCTCTCGACCACCTTGAAGCTGCAAGTCTGAGTATTTGTAAGAAATTCCAGAGAGAATGTGGTGCATTTGAGCACATGATCTGATGGCAAATTATATCAGATATAAGAAGTTCTGATATAGGTCAGGAGATTTGGAGGCGTTTTATATTAGTTCCTGGGTGATTTGCCCAGTGGAAGCTGGACGGGGCAACTGGAGTGAATTAAAGGGCACCAAATCCCATGTTCTAATATATAGCCGTAATAGATGTGGAATCCGTAAAGGCAGAAACAAGTCAGTTGTCTGGATTTTGCCTGGCAGTTTTACCCACAGGCTTTGGCATAGAGCATTTGGGTCAAGAAATAGTATCAATCAAAAAAACTGCAGGACCCAACACAGTAAAGCAGATAGCAGTAAAGGTGGGTAAACGGACTCAATTAAATAAGTAAAATGTGAGTTTTTGAGAAGGGAATATTGGACTTTTTATAATAGCTATAGCTCATACTTGCTTTAAAAATAGACTTTGAACAATATTTTAGGTTTATATATTCAATGTAATTTTATTTATAGTGCACCAAAAAACAACAAGGAGGCTCAAGGCGCCTTATATTGTAAAGTTTTTTGAAGATCTGATCCCAATCATGTGGTGGTTTTGTTCCTTTTCCTGTTCAACTGTTGGTCACCAGCTGATTTCACTGATCCTCATCCTATTACTCAAACTGCTACTTTTATAGAAATATTTTAAAATATTAAATTACTTTAAAGACTTTCCCCATTTTTCATAACATTTTTACAACTCTTTGACGTCACAAAAAAAATAATGAAAGAAATTAGCCTGGATGCACTCTCACTTTTCTTAATCATTTCATGACCTCCCAGAATTATCTTGTAATCCTCCAGAAACTGGTCCAAAAACCCAATGCAGTGAACTACTGAACTTAACCTGACAACTATACTTCAGTTTTTTGAGAATACCACAATTTATGAAATGTTATCCCCACATCCATTCATCCATCCACCCATTTTTGACACTTTGGGATTTGGGTCACGGAGACAACAGTCCAAGCTAAGAAACCCAGACTTTCCTTACCCCAGTCACCTCCTGCAGCTCATCCGGGAGGACACAGAAATGTTCCCAAGCCAGCTGACAGATATAATCTCTCTATTGAGTCCTGGGTCAGCCCTAGAGCATCCTCCCAGTAGGACATGCTAGGAATACCTAGGAGACATCAAGGAGGCATCCTAGTCAAGTGCCTGAACCACCTCAACTGGCTCCTTTCGATGTGGAGGACCTGCGGCTCTACTCCGAGCCCCTCTCAAATGACCGAGCTCCTCACCCCATCTATAAACTCATTTCAACCGCTTGTCTCTGTGACCTCATTCTGTCTGTCACTACCCAGAGTTTCTGACCACCCAATCCATCACTCGATCTCATGGTCCACTCGCCCCTCACTTGTGAACAAGACCCAGAGACACTCAAACTCCTCCACTTGGGGCAGCAACTCATCCCTCACCCAGAGTGGGCACTCCAGCCTTTTCACCTCCACTGCGGCGTCATATCAGCCCTTGAAAGTCTGACATGAGTGCTGACTTTCAAGGGCTTTAATGAAAGCATTAGGAATTACATCCACTGTTATACATATTTCCCCATTTTCAGAGGCTAAACCATAAATGGACCGAATAATATAATTTTAAATATAAGGACTCTTTGTAATATACGGATGAAGCTCTTTTGTAGTCAATGACTGCCTAAAGTCTAGAGCCCAAGGACATCACCACCAAACCACCAGCAGAGACATAAAGCAAAGCAAAGAAACACAAGCAGACAGTTGCTGAACTAAAAACAGGGACACAACCACAATTTCTCTGAGACAGATCTCAAAGCGAAGGATCTGTAAAGACTGTGTCACAAAATACCAACAACACAGAAGTTTTACTTGCAATGAATTACTTCCACTGTATTGTGGTACTGATACCACTATACTAACCAGGCTAACAGCATATTATAAGCCGTGAACACTTATGTACACGCTACATCATATTTTTTTCTTTGTTTTAACAAATTTGTAAGAATTTCATGAAAACACTTCTGAACTTTTTCACTATTGGGTATTGTGAAAAATAAATCTAATCCATTTTGGAAGACGTCTGTGGAACAACTGAAGCGCTGTGAATACTTTTTGGATACGCTGTGAGTCCACTTGTACATTTCAGTGCATCTCTAATGTTCACTTCTTGTCTGGAAAGTGGTTATTTGCTTCCATTAGGAGCTCCTGAGTGTTCTTCTTGTAGTTTACTTTTTTCAGCCAGGACTTCACATCCTTATTCTTCTGTGGCTGTGAAGCCTTTAATGCCCTTGAACATTTTTTGATGTTATGGCCTAAAATGTAACAGTCCAAAAATGTGTCTAGATTATCCCCCCTTCTAAATTAAAACTATAGCTTTGTGGCTTTTACATGTTGTTGTTGAGTGCTTTATATAAAACCGTCCCAGTTGCTAAACATTACTGGAATATCACAACTTCCCTGGTCTTTAAAACATGTGTAAATATAGTAGCTATATAGTATCTACTATTTTTAACATTTACTTGTTTTACTTGTTAAATCATAACTGGCTTTTTTGTTAACACTTGTATGATTTGTGAATTTATTATTTTCTCTGTTGGTTTTATACTACACCACATGTGTTAGTAGATTGCTGCCCACAGTAGGCATTAAAGTCAGACCGATTGTTGGTCAGACCCCGAGCGCTTTACAGTCGATACGTGTTTGTTCTTTGCCAATATCAGGGTTTAAAGCAGGGACAAATTATATATTTTGGACATGAATTGAAACTGCTTGTGATTAGACAACAAACAAAACACCAATGGAAGAGGCATGTAGAGGATTTTCAGAATCAGTTTTCTGTCTCTTGCTAAATGTTTATGCTTCAATTTGTATCTTTTTTGCATCAGCAGATAGTGGAAATGTCTCTATTTACATAAAAGAAAGAGAAAGTGAAGCAGAATGCAGGAAAGATGAGACAAATATTTATTTTTCTGTAGGATACATTTTCTCATGATATAATCCCAGCTGAGCCAACACATCACTTATTTGAACAAGTTTAATCATGCGCGTGTGGCCTTTGTGTCGTAGTAAATTGATTTTTTTTCAATAATTTATCCACTTCTGGAGTTCAGCGAGATTTCTGTTCATGTCCAAAACTTTAGACGTCTCTGTGTTTGGCGTGATTTTGAAGAGTCTTCATTGCGTGACTAAGAATGAGAGAAATCTTGAAGGACATGCGAGGGCCTTAAGATTAGTTAGACACCAAGCAACAAAACTTACGTGGGACTCAGACATCAAATATTGTAATGTTGTATCTGCTGATCCTTCTGCCATCTCTCTCTTCCATGGTTATGAATCTGCATGTAAAAGGGGAAGGGATGCTGCACCACTAAGGGCAAGATGTCCCCACTTCTTCGATGTATTGTCAGTCTGCCCCAGGGCAGCTGTGGCTACAACTGTAGCTTGCCTTCACCAGTGTGTGAATGTGAGAGTGAATGAATAGTGGTATTGTAAAGCGCTTTGAGGGGTCCCGAAAAGCGCTATATAAATGCAATCCATTATTATTATTACTATTTTTTCTGTATAAGATGCTAAACTAGTAACACAAGCACAATGAATCATGGCCATCCCAGAAATCATGACCCATTTCAGAAACACAATGCGATCGTTGCCAAATGTAAATCCTCGCATTTACATTACATGAAAGGACCGTCCACAGAAAATACATCACTCGCTGGTTCCTCAGTCTGATACAATTAGGCTGCCGGATTTCAAGTCAAACACAACTTTCAAAGCTTCAAAGAAGCTTTACTCTTTGATGCTTGTCTTTGACGCGTGTGGTTTCTTAACAGCAATATGCAATGTAATGAGTCTACTGATGTGAAACAATCGACTAACTAGCCCATTAGATCACGATGATGATGTGAAAACAAAGACAAGATCCCTGCTTCAGTGCATTTTTCAAATTACTGCAAACTTTTTTACACCACAACATACACTTTTTTCAAAAATCTTTTTTTTTCCCAAATGAAATGTGGTTCCAGGCTAGATTCACACATGTACGAGCAGATGTTTTCTCTGGGAGAGTTAAAAAAGACATGCAAGAATATTTACCACAGGCATAATTATACATAGTCATATATTGTCCTATAATGATCTAAAACACCAGAACGCTCGAGAATTTTAACCCCTGTATTCAGCTGATGACTCAGTCGAGGATATCCATTTCCTGTGGTTACCACTCACATCACAAAATATCCAGTAAAACCTGCTTCATTTTACTTTGTCTTACATGCTTGATATCTGCATCGGGTACATCAGTGTGTAGACTGTTCGATGGTTTTACCTGTAGGCTTACATGGCTGAAGTCACTGATGCATTAACAGCCAGATGGTATACCAAGTCATCAAAATGTAATGAAAGCCCTCTCTGCATGATCCAAATAAAGCCTGACGGCATGAAACCTCCCTCTGATGACGTCAGACATTACTTAACCTCCAGTCATTGCTATATCAATCAAAAAATATTATAACATCTTCCAACTTAAGTGGTTTAACAAACATGTCAGAAGCATTAGGCAGACATTTAAATACAGTTTGACAAGTCAGCATATAGCCTAAGGTTTATTATCCTGTGAGCTGTAAGAAGGCTGTTTATGGCTTACCCAGACCCAGCAGGTCCACGGCTGACTCTGTGCCGTTCTTAGGACTGCCTCTGTACTCTGCCTGTTGAGGAGAACAAAGAGAAAAGAGAAATATATATATAATATTGATATAAAATATAATATTTGATTTGTTCAAGCAGGGTATTTGACCAAAATTATAACATTGCTAGACTGTAGATGGTAATTACATCCATAGAGACTAGACCTTTCACGATTCTGTATAACAATCCAATATTGATCCTTATTAAAGATACTAGATTGGATCATCAATGAGAGCAACTGGCCCTAAGATGAGTAATCTCCTTTTAATGCAGCTATAGTCTGCAAACCTTTTCTACTGCAAGTTTGTCAGGATGACTTTTAGTTAATCATATCCTCATTATATGGGCCATCGAGTATTCCACAGCAGAACCAAGAAGTTGGCATTTTGACTCACCCTACTAACATGACCTCAACAATTCTATTACATTTGATTTCAGTGGAGAGTATGATTTCATCTATGGATCCTGAGGCAATTTTGACTGCTACGACACTACATGAAGTGTTTGATGTTTTAATGACTTACTAGCCTGCATATATGCACGGGCTGATGTAATGTACATTCCTGCTGGCAGGATCAGTTGCTAAATGTTGTGTTTCACAGAGTGAAGCAGTGAATCAGCAAAAGAAAGGAATTAATCCCAACTTAAGAGAATAAGGTTTGTGGTGCAGCTCAATATGTATTATATTGAGATATGTTTTAGGAATTTATCCTACAATCACTGAACTTAATTGGAGAGAAACTGTCCTGGTCCAGGTGAGTGCAGGGTTTTTCCACTCTGCTGGGCTCCACCTTCAGGCAGAGACTCCAATCAGCTTTCACACCTGATTCCAATCAAGTCACCAGCATATAAGACCAGCGCTCACAACAGACCTCTGCCAGATCTACTGCTAACTCACGTTACTGCTACGCCGCCAAGCCCTTGTGAGAGCCTCTTAACAATTGCATTTCTCCTCACCGTGTTTTCTTTGCCATAGGACCCACCTGGCCATCACGCTTCACAAGCTGAACTACACACATCTCTGCCTGGATGCTGGTTCTCTGTCATCTGGTTGCTTCCTTATCATCATAAGACTCCACCTGCCTGCCTGCCAGGTCCCTTGCTCCAAGTATATTCTGGACCCTCTCTGGACACTCCTCACCCGGACCGCCTTGGACACCCCCTCCTCACATGACACTTTCACCTGCAACGCGTAAGCCCAAACCACCACAGTCTAATCCTTCGGCTACGATTCACTAGACCGCCACTGACTGCCTGTCTCTTCTCATTATAGTGACTGTGTACCTCCACCCAAGCCGCTGCCCCTTTTTCCATTCCCAGGATCCGTCTATGAAATCTTGCACCTAGTCATAGCACTCAGAGTTTCATGTTCATAGTTTGGCCTCACAGTTCTCAGTTCATAGCTTCCACAGTTCATAGCATTCATAGTTTCCTGCTTTGTAATTTAACTAGGTACTATAAATAAAGCACTGTGTTCACGCCCGTTTTGCCTCCCTCTGTGTCTGCATTTGAGTCCACACCCACAGCCTGGCCCTCTCGGCTGTGACAGAAACAACTGTCAGAACGCATTTTCCTACAGAATTACTTGGTATCTGTGGCAGCAGAGTCAGTTTTTGTTAGCTGTTGGGTTTTGGTTTAGACAGATGTTAAATATTCAGAAACTAGAGGATGTTACCTTTCAAATAATGTCCTAAAAATTTCCTTTAAAAGCCTTCAATTCATCCTAAATGCTCTAGAGTGTACTGACAGATACTAGAAAGAAATTACATATTTCCCCGATATTGGCTTCTCTTCATTGACTGCCTGTGAAATCCAGAATCAAATTTAAAATCATTCTCCTCATATATAAGGTCTTAAATAATTAGCCCCCATCTTATCTTACATACCATTGTACTGTATCACCCCAATAGAGCACTTTGCTCTCAGTCTGCTGGCTGACTTGCAGGGGTACTTAAAAGTCGAATGACAGGCAGCGTAAGTAAGTATTCTAGTGTCATGCGAGGCCATCTTTCCGACTTCTAAAGCCTTGCCAAAGTTGGTGTTGGGTCTGTGTTTCCACAAGCCCCGCTAATTCTAGAGACTTATTCATCATGAAGAAAACAAGACAGTCGATCGATCAATCACTTGCACAAGGGAGGCCTGTGTCCACCACGAAAATGACCTCAACGACGACCTCCCTTGCTGCCCTTTTTATTGAGACACAGTTCACACAAACCACTTCAGAACAAAGCCACGCCCACATGGTTCTAAGACAAGGCATTGTATGTATATGTGTGAACTTCTGTATTTAAGTGTGTGTCAGACCTCCTGCTGACCAAAGGGTCGTAAACGCAGGAAGCTTACATCAAAAGAAGCAGATCTTCCAGATAGGATGTATCTGCAATAAAACATTACAGCCCCCCATCCAGAACCTCGAGAGTTTGGGGGGGGAAGGACAGTGGAATTTCTTTCATCAGAGTTGGCAAGCATAAAAATGACAACATTTAACAATTCACTCTAACAGTTGGGTCATTGTAAACAGGACAAAGATCCCAGGCATGATTGGGGTGATACAGTACAATGGTATGTCGATCATCCAAGTAAAGAAATTCCAATATGGAGACTGAGGGAGTGACTTGAATGAGAGACAAATGTTTCTCCCACTAAAGAATCAACATTCTGGAATACAAAGAAAGATTCTTGGCACCAAGGCTCAGGAAATACAGGTTATACACTATCTGAAAGGCTCTTGGTCCAATCCCCTGGCTGCTGTAGTGTGTATGCCAAAGTGCCCTTGGGCAACATACTGAACCCCAAGTTGCTCTCTGATGCGCACGAATGTTAGATAGACAGCAATTGGACGTAGAAGAAAGGCTGGTATCAATAGGCGTCAATGGGTGAATGAGGGATGCTGTATAAAGCACTTTGAGTAGTCGAGTAGAATAGAAAAGCACTGTGTAAGAACCAGGCCAGTTACGATTATCTCCCACAGCAGCAATTCTACAACAAAAGAAAAAAAAGAATCAAGGCGTTGGAAAGTCTAAGCCAGGGGTCTCAAACTCCAGTCCTCGAGGCCCGGTATCCTGAAACCTTTCCATGTGTCCCTGTTGCAACACCTGAATAAAATTAGTAGGTCCTTAGCAAGAGTATAGAACTTGACTGCATGCTAAAGTGGCAACCCCTAACCCTACTCAAGTAAATCTAAGTAAATGTAAGTGTTTGGAAAAATGTACTTCTTAAAGTACTTGTATTACACCATGTTCATTCACTCATGAGCTGCTGTGACATGAATCAAATGGCTGAACTGCCACCTCAGCATGCAGTCAAGTTCTAGCTAAGCTATATAATTATGGGCTGTTATTAGATTTTCATGCTTGTTTCTGCATTCTGGCTTAGTTTTTGTTAAATCAATACCAACAGTGTAACATGTTATATGATGTTCATTTCAGGTTTTATTCGCTTTATTTTAAGAGCTTGTAAAAAACTAGATATTTGTTATGTCCTGACATACAAAACCCCAGAACAGAGAAGACGAATTTTAACACAAGTTCTATTGGCCGTGATGGTGGCCATGTCCACAAGATGCACAGCATCATTTTTGGCATAATGTTTCTCGCATCATCATTCCTTAAGCTCTTTCATGGCCTCTATTCAATCAGCCTGTCATATTTTAGAAGTTTATCAGGGATATACTACCTTGGTGATATTGGTTACTGATATGTAATCGTGCTAATTTAGCTTTAAACCTGATAAGTTGAGCAGAATTGGAAAGTAGTGCAGGTAGGAGAAGAAGACAAGGAAAGCGGCTAATGAAAGAACGACAGCAAGGAAGAGAAAGATGGGGACTAATGTTCAGGGAAGACACAAGAGTGAAGGGGTGTGGAGACAGACAGTGGAACATCGGAGAAAAAGAAGTGGTGAGAGAGAGAGAGTCTAAAAGGGTAATGCCTGGGCCAAGAGAGATCTACAACACTGGTAACAAACCCAATTGGCCCCCCAACAAAAGATCGATGGAGCGCATTCGATTCTATGTTGTTCCAATCCAAGGCAATGAAAACAATTACTGTGTCCATGCCTAATCAGGAATGCATTGGCTGTAAATTGATGTGTGTTGGGACTGCAGCAAAGTGTGAACAGCAGCGCATGAACTGCAGAAGGAAGGAGCATCTCTGTACAGCAGCCAGAGGTTGGACTGTGCAATGCATTCATATTGGGAAACAGTAAAGGACCCTTCTATGGAATTTTTAAGGAAAAGCAATAATGAAACTAAGGTTGAGGAACACATATTAGTAAGATTCACTTAAGTTAGTGGCCAATAACTGCATGATAAATTTCTGTACAGTTAGAAATGTTGAAAATTTCTATTAAAAAATCCTCCCAGTTTATCTTATGAGATAAATCTTAAATCAATATAAAAGAATAAAAAGGGATTGGGGAGGTGGGAGGCAGCAAATGGTGACAGAGTAAACAGAGAAAACACTGTAAATAATGGATTGAAAAAAGAAAAAACAATTCAAACCAAAATCTACGGTGGCCCTGAGAGGTCAAGGGCACTGCAACTTAAGAAAACACCTGCAAAAGCTAACAAAACAGAAATAAAGCACAACAGGAGTGTTTCTGGGGCAACGTTAATGTGACAGAAACTACAACATGAGAAGGATTCACTGAAACGATCCATTGGTGTTGTGACAGAAAAAGATGCAGGTAATGTATGTTTTAATTGCACGAGTCACACAGTACTGTAGCTACATATTTGCTATTAGCCGTTTATTGCTAGCTTGTCACTTTCGCAGCTGTGTTGGACCCAAAACATTCAGTCTATTGTGTTTTTGGTGCAGATTTTCACAATTTCCAATACTTTTTATTCACCTTCTGTTGTGTTTCGTGTGCTTTTGCAGAGCTTTTCTTTCTTCTCATGTGGCATTTTCTTAAATTGCAGTTTGACCTCTCAAGGCCACCATTAATTAAATTCTCATCACTTTTGCAAATTTGTTAATTGGTTTATTTATTTATTTATTCATAGAACTTAATATAAAGAAGACCCTTATGTCAAATTTTGCTCTGCAACAGCAAATGGTGAGGCAACTGGGATTCAGCATTTTTTTAACAAAGTGTACCATACTTGATTAAAAGCTTATTCAATTTAGTTTGAAAATGCAACTGGAAGGTTCTCAGGATTTTTCTTGTGTTGATAAAATGCTTGTTTTGTGTGCTTTTAGGATTGCTAACGATGAACCCTCTAGTTGTCAAAGAGTATTATTTTTCTGTATTAACCGCACTATGTATATTAAAGCAATGTGGGAAAAAGAAGGTAATTTGTCAATTATAGAGGAATGTTGGGGCCACGCATGCAAGATACAGTGGGCTACCACTCAGTCTAATGTTTGGCATGAATTTTGCTGAAGAAAGCATCAGGAAATTTTTCATCACACCTGCTCAACAAAGATATCGGGGAACTGGTGACAAATGTTGGAGATGTGGGGGAGATGGTTTCCATATCTTTTGGGATTGCAAAGTTATTCGCCAAAATGTTTTTTCATTTGTTTTTCCTTTAACCTTTGAGACCATATTTTTGTGTAATGTACCAGTGGATAAACTGAATTCCAATGATAGAAGACTCTTGTATATCCTACTGGCTGCAAGTAAGAAGCCCCTTACGAGGAGAGGGCTTAAGCCTGAACCACCAACGATGGAAGATTGGATGCATTCTGTACAAGAGATCTATACGATGGAACAATTGTCATTTTCTCTTAAACTTCACAGGGATACCTTTTGCAGGATATGGTCTAAATGGACATGTTAAGCCTGTGAGGTGTGATTTTTTATGAACCATGCTTTTTTTTTTTACGTTAAAGCCCGGAGTATTATGCAAACTTACCTGCTCTGCTACCTCCTAACGCAAGTCTTTTTTTTCCTTTTCTTTTGTCATATCTCTCATCTTTTTTTCTCTTTTTTTCTCTTTTTTCTTTTCAATTATAATCTAAAAAATGTGAAAGCAAAAAGTGTAAAAAGCCATACCACTGTTATGTTCAATTGCTTTCTCAATAAAAGAGATAATGATAAAATACAAATATAAAAAAAACCCGCTCACACCTCACAGACGGCAGCTTACAGTCCTGCGTAAAGATGAAAGTGACTTCGTACAGCCCCGGTCTGCACAAGCTGTGCGCAGAGGTTAGGAGCAGGAGTCCCATTGTAAACATATCACGGCAGACCCGACAACGTTTGCATGAACATGCTTTACAGCTTCTCTTTATTAACCACTTTTCACACACGGTTGCTGTACACATGCAGCTGGCTTTAGCTTTCCAACACAGAGCCCGACACATAACACAACAGCAGAGAGAGCGCAGACTTTAAGACGGCAAAGCCTGATTGCGGATGACGCTCAGGTGCGACCACCTCTCCTGCAGCGGCACTGCAGGCCACGCCCCGCCATACACATTAACCAGGTAAAATAAATATTTATGCAGATATTTTGCAAATATTTATTATTCAC